GGGGTCCACAAAGATTTATGTTTTTGTCCACATTTATTTATGTTTTCCTATATCTGGTCTGAAGGATGATTTCAAACTAGCCACCAGCAATATTTCACTTAGCATCATGTACAGGGAATTACACAGCAGAGTTAAGATAACCCCGTGTACCTAACAAACTCCCCAGGCACATTTTTCAGAGCATCTGGAGGGTGCCAGGCTGTCCCAGCAGCAGCATGGCAAGTCCATGGATCTCTATCTCTAAAGATCATGAAAAACTTGAAATCTATGCTGTTACACAGAATTAACCGCAGTTCTGTTTGACTTCTGTCTGTAAATGCTCTGAGTTGTATTTTCGGGGCTTGGGCTGGCTGCTTGCTGTTGTTTCCAAGCCCCACAGGCAGTGAGCTGCCTGTGCAGCTGAACCACCCTTTCAGCACTCTGCTGCGGTGTGTCTTGCTTACATCACTGATTTCTAACCGGAAAACAGCTGGAGGGCAGAAAAAATAGCTGTTTAAAGGGGTTGATCACTCAGACAAGAAGTTCAACCAGTTAGACTACTGAAGAGAATGGGATTTTTTTTTTTTTTCTGGAATGACAAAAAAATCATGGCTTCACTGACAAAAGCTAATAGTTTCCCTGCTAGTATCTTGATCAGAAGCTGAATTAAACACAGTCCTTGGCCCTGCATTTAATGGGGCTATAATGGTGCATCTGAGCCACACTTTACAACCATTACTAACACTCCTACCCACTCCTGAAGGCTTGAAGGGACGACGGTCACTCTTGGTGGCCTGTGCTGTCTTACAGCATCTCCCAGCGCTGGCCATGCTCTTGCCCCACCAGCCATCACCTGCTTTGCTATCCCATGGGGGCCCCACAAGCCGCCTCTCCCACCTCTGATGTCAGCCTTGCTCAATGTCTCCAGCCCAGACCCTTCCCTGTTCCCCAGGAAGAGGCTTTGTCCGGTGCCACCACCCAGGCAGGACACTGGGGAGCTGCTGAGGGGTGTGTGGCCATTGTCACTCAGCGCACACACAGCAATCTGAAGCTATCGCCAGTCTAGCGACAAGCACAGGCTATCTTTTAGCAACACTGGATGACCAGCTTTGCAAAATAAAAAATAATGTGGTCTGAGTCTTGTGTGTATTTGGGAGGAAGGGTAGAGGGAAAAGAGCAGACATTTAATGCTAACAGGGTTTTTAGTTAAGTTTTACTGATGAAATAAAGTTTTCCAAGAACTTAAGTAATTGCTGAAGGCTGTAAAAAGGTAGCTTGGGTCAGATCTCTCTTTAACTCTGAGGGATTTTTGTGGACTCTTATAGAAGTGCATTAGGCATTCAACTTTGTGTGCGTGAGCTCTAGTGAAGAGCATCTTTCTCTGAGTAAAAGAGGTTATTAAAACTGCTGCTGCTCTTGATTTACATTAAGATTGTAACTGGAAGAAGCCAGAGGAAGAAGTGTGATTTCTGATAAGTTTGTTAAACCAACACAGCTGTGTCACTGCCAATAGTGACTGAAAAACAGTAGGATGTAAAGGGAGAAAGCCCTCCCCCCCCCCCCCCCCCCCCCCATCTATTAAAATGAGCCATGAACACAATACTAATGTGGTAAATCAGGGCAATATGCAAATGGCTGCATGTCCCAGAAACCCTAATCCTATCAAGAATGCAGAAGATGTTAATTTGACCATCTTTCACAGCTCATAAATCTATCTGTAGCAAAGCCAGGCTGCCAGATGTCATCCAGCAGCACTGCTTTGAGGCTGGCAGTCTCAGCACAGACGCCTGATCATGCCTCAGTAAAGACCAATAAAGGGCATTGTTTGTGTGGCCTGAGAGCAGCTTCTCACATTTTGCTACAATAGAGGAAAACAGTGGGAAATGCGAATGACTGATTGGCAGAACTGGTGCTCTCGCTTGTGCTGCTTTCCACATATGGAGCTATAGATTTTACATGCATTTTACATCATTAATATGCAGATTATTCTATCTTGTTCTTAACAATTAGTGGTGTGTATTCCTCAACTCAATTTCTTGAATCCTAAACTATAAATACAAGCTGGACATAGTTCCTTTTCTCTCAGACAGATACTCCTTATTTACTCAAAACTACTTAAAATGACAAACAGCTTTTATGATGATGTGATCTTACTCTTACGATTTGACATCGAGAATAGAAATTGCCTATTTCCAAGCAAGCAAAGTTCTATAAATTAAAGACATCTAGAAATATAAACTCATCCTTCTCAAATAATAGGTTTAAAATTCCAGTTGCAATTTTGGTTCTTTAGTATCCACCAGAATTAATCTGATTTTTATGATGGGGGTGGTGAAACCCTGGAAGAGATTGCCCAGAGAGGTGGTAGATGCCCCATCCCTGGTAACATTAAAGTCAGGTTGGATGGGGCCCCGAGTAACCTGTTCTAGTTGAAGTTGTCCCTGCTCACTGCAGGGGAGTGGGACTAAATGGCCTTTAAATTAGATGATCCTTCCAACCCAAATCGTTCTATGATTCTACGATAATTTGTTTTTACAGGGTGTACATTAAAGTGCCACAGCAGATATTTTTGTGTGAAATTACCTGGGAGCAAGCTGGATGAAGCTCACTTTTATCTAAACTGAAAAGCCTTTCAGCTTCTCAGTGGGTATTGTGACTATCACAGAACTCTGAGTTAAATTGCCTTATTACAGAGTTTGGCTGAAAAAATAAAGCAGGCAAAATAATAGAGAATGCTGTAGAGAAGCATCTGTAGAGAAACAGGAATTTCCAGCAATAAAAATGATATGGGGCTGTCTGCTATCTACAGGTAGAGAGATCCCCATGGAAACTGCTGTTCATTTAGGATGTGTGTATTCCTGTCACATGCCACCCACATCACTCAAACATTTTAGATCACGGGGCTCCAGCCATACGGAACAGACTTTTAGCGCTTCTTCAGGTCAGGGACAGAGCCTACAGCAGAGCAGCCGAGGTTCCTAATGCCAGTGAGTCCCTGTGGCCTGTAACAAGGGAGAAGGTGCAGAAGGCCAGTGATGGGAGCCTCAGCCTTTCAGGTGAATGCCGGCTACACCACCATTTGTTCAGTGGCTTCTCTGACAGTGGCCCTGACTCCGGAGCAACCCATAGCAGTGATGATGGAGAACGTGATATGGACCCCTCGGTATTGCTCAGGGAAGAGAGGCAGATCTCCTGGCTGCCTGAACTACCCTCAAGCTCCTCCGGATGTACACAAGCAGAAGTTTAGTTCAGGAAGTAAATTTTAGAGAAAAATGTGTGTACAGGCTTTTCCCCACAGTATTGCTTGCCAAACCCCATTCTGATCCCAGTATAAGGCAGAACTAGTGATAACGAAGTGAGGCTTTTTTTAGGTAGCCACAGGTAAATAAAGTAACTCCACTGGGTCAAAAGAAACAAAATGCTATGAAAAACAAGAAACCAGAATAAAGCGAGTTTTAAAACTAAAGGACATACTTTATGAAATTGCTTGGAAAATCCTCAGTATGTTTTACCTCCAGAATTAGATACAACAGGGGAGTATAAATTATGCCTGAGTTTGAGAAGCCAACTGTTCCAGTTAACAACCTTAAAATACCTGTATTGCTAAATCAGGTTATGTATAAAAACAGTTATGATTTTTTTTTTCTGAAAATAACAGAATTCTGAGACATACATGCAATTTCATCTTGTTTACAGATAAGAGAAAATTCATTATGCTAAAACTAGTAGGTCAGTGAGTCTAAACTCACTATTTTAACAGTATCTCAAGTAGGTTAAAGGTGCTAAACCACGAACTCCCCAAAATCTGTACTGTAAAATCAGTCCAGTGAAGGAGACATATTAAGCATTATTTCTAAATTTTTTTTTTTTTAAGGAAAATATGTTATTTATTGATATTGCAATAAAACATCTGCAATACATAACAATGCACCCTATTACACAGTTAATAATATTTAAGCTAGTAATTGTACAACATCGCATCATTACTCTCTTCTTTTCAAAAAAATGAACACAATCAAAACTTGATATATAAAATGTTTAATCCATACATTTTGTTAAACTCCTTTGCTGAAAAGCTGGCAATTTCTGAGAATGGGGAGGTAAGTCTCGGAAGGCAGCAAGCAGGCATACCTAAATCCGTATCTATTTGTTTACAGACTATCTTGTACAAGTCCTTGGCTATTAAAGGTTGCCACATGTACAAGGTTGTCTTATCTCTTGCAAATTACTGTAATGATTTCAGTGTTCCTGCTGGACTGCTTCCCTACAGCAGACACATGGTACTTACATTTATAAAAAAATCCAAAACTGGTTTTAAAGCATGTCCCTGAATAAATCTTTCAATTTACAGTAAGTGTAAAACATTTATTTTAATTGCTCCAGGTCTAAAATGATTACTATTTCTTCCTTGTATTTTACAAAAATCCGCTCTTTTTATTAGGTGTTTCCTAAATTATAATTGATTAAGTGCACTTTTAATAGTGGGTGATATTTCAGAAGTGCCTTGGAATATGGTCTAATACATGATTACATAAAAAGAGCAGGTTTCCATATTTTTTGTCCAATCCTATGCGTAATCGATATTATTTCCACTAGAATTCCCCCCTGGGACTAGTCTGCTCTGTGCTACTATTGAGGATTGCTTGAAGTGTGCTAGTGGCAGCTCATGATTCCACCACTCCATCTCGAGTCTGATTACATAATTGCTCAGGGGCTTTTAAAGATACTTAAAATGATTCCATGGCATATATAAATAAGATGTTGGATAGAAAGTTCACTGAAGTTTTTTATTTGAGAAATTCGGCAATCTGACTTACTCTTCACCATTGTTAAGAGCATCACTCTTCTCTATTTTTGCCTCCTTATCAAGACACTTAGTGCCTTTCACTCTAATTTTGTGTAGGTAATTTCAAATCTTCTGGTATACCACTAACCAGATTTTCTCTGTTAACATACCTGCCACCACTCTTGGCGATGCTCAGGCAATTCCCCCCCTTCCCCCCTTTTTATCTCAATTTTTATCTTCAAGGTCTGTCTGCTCTGCACCTTTACAAATCCATCTCACTAGTAAAGTGCTAACCTGTTGTCCATTCAGAGACTCTAGTCCTAATAGCAGAACCATTTATTTTCTTAAAACCTGTTTTGAAGCTTCTGGTGCATTTTCACATTCCTCGTCTTTTGAGATAAGCTTTACCATTAGTCCCCTTATTTTGAAGTCAGATTTATTTCATTGTCTGATTCCTGGTTTTAGAATCCTTGCATTAAATACACTATACTTCTATACTATGTCCTTCAGGGGCCTCATGTTATTACTGGGACGATGCTAGCTGTGAAACTGCCCTGATTTATGTAGGTTTTTTTATTATTTATAAATCTTAGTGTTTTAGTAAACTAAGTTCTCCTGGTTCTTTCCCTAAATCCTGAACTAGACTTTATGAAAACAGGTGCTCTAATGAATGTTTGTTATTAAAAATGAAGCTCTTTAATACCAGCCCAAATCTAATTTATTCTATTACATATTTGCAATGCTTCAGTGAAAGTACTCCCATAGGGAACCACTATTATCTGGTATTGGTCATCATACACAGATTTATTTAAAGATGACACTTTTGGACTGCTCGGGAATTCATTCTTTCGTTAATTAAAATGACACTTAACTGCTGTCAGCTTCCACTTTGACTATTTCAGTAATTAAAAACTGTTCCATACAATATTCTCTTCAGTTGGATCATAAATATTGTATACACCAATTGATTTACTGTTACTAATTTTTGCAACAAAACCGTTTTTTCCCTTTGTTGATGTAATTTCAGTTCTACTTACATGTCAATCCTATTTACCTGCTTAATTTATTTACCTCCTTCTTTATCAGGCTAGTAAGAAGTGCTACTTTTATACATGTCTATTGATCTATGCCTCACAAAACTGAACACATTTCTTGTGAAATAAGCTTTCAAATTTATTGCTGGAAAATGTTACATTTTTGAAGAGCAGCTAGACAACATAAAACCATACACTGCTAACTCAGGCATAAGTGACTACTTTCAAGTCCACTTCCTGGGCTATTTCTCTTAGCTTCACCATTCAGTACTAATCCTTTCCCGCATGTACCATCCTAGATCTGTGAACAGCATTATCAGCTGACACGAGGCCATTTTCCCAACTATAAAAAGTCTCAATCATACGTTCTTAGGCACTAGTGCATTTTCTTTTGCTCCTTAAACAATTTACATCTATTTTAAATATTAAGGTTTGCAAATACTACTGCTATAATCTGTTGAAAATTCTTCATGGTCCTAACCGAAAAACTGCCGGGAAGTGTTCCCCTAGCAGGGCGTTGTGCTGTAACATTGTGCACACTGCAATTGTACCATATAGGAAACCACTGCAATCTCCATTGCTGCCACCCATTAAGACCCCAGCTGAAACACACTTGAGTTGTGGCTGAATAAATCTAGTGTTTTATCGAGATTACAGATGGAGAGATGGATCTGACCTCCACTTCCTCCTTTGAATTTTCTGCCTGCATTAAAATCCACACCTGCACCTCTCCATACACATCCCACCACTAGACAGAACCCAGGTAGGTAATTTAATGTGACATCCTTTAATTTACTCGTAGTCTATCTATTGTGGTTTTTCAGCTTGTCTCTGATAATTAATACTTCAAAAGCAATGTTTTCTTTTAGGAACTATTGTATAGGACATTTACCTTCAGTTTTTAAATCCCATTTCTTTTTCTTGCACACATTATTTCCCAGGTCTAATGTTAATGTTTTGAATTTGCTGCAACGTCTCCTAAACGTGTGGCTTTTCTCAAGAAGAGCTATTCTGAAATTCCTGTAATGCCTACACATCAACACTTGTTTGCTCTTTAACTCAAAGCTGGCTGTTTCTAATAATCCTATTAGCTATTCTTACCATAACTTTTCAGTGCTGTAGAACTTGCCTTTCTTTACTGGTCATTATTAGTACCTCTCCCCTCCTGTCTGTCTTCTCTGTTACCGACGTTACCCTTTTTAAGGGCAGAACATGTTAACTTCAAACCAGTCATCTACGTGCTTTTTCTTTTTATCTTGCATTCTGTTCTGGCTGCCTGCAGATTTTTCTGATCTAGTGTGCCACAGGCAGAGGGTAGTAACCCCTTGATACTCTCACAAGTACCACTGCTTATGCTTGCTGGAGAGGGGCAAGAAGAGGCACACGCCTCCCTCCACACCCTCGACTATAGCACTTCCCCTGCTGACAGGATCTCCACCTCCTACTGCAACTTCCCTGTGTGCAGGAAAAGCACAGCTCCAAGAACCACAGAGCGGCAGAGCTCACTCGGTCCGATTTTCCAGTTCACTGAAGGTAAGAAAACAGTCTGCTGTATTGTTGCATTAGACAAGAACAAATCAAGCCTTTATACTTTTTTACTGGAAGGCAGGAGGCAAGCCACCCGTGGAGTTGTTTCCAGCAAGAGAAAAAACTGTTTTATTAAGTTCAGGAGATGAGCAGAAAAAGGGAAACGGTTCTTAGGCTGCAGCACCCTCACCGACAATGGTGGTCTGCTCAAAAAGTCACTTTTTTACTTTTTTCTCAGCTTCCCGGTGAATACAGTGAGTGAGAATGCACAAGGGTGTGTACTCATATATATATATATACACACACAGCATGGTGTTTAATGAGCAAGTTCAGGGTAGAAAAGACAGGGATAACGCCTTTTATACACAGTTATTTCCATTCAAAATTAGTGCCAACATAACTCTTGAACATGCATTGTATGGACAAGCTTAAGTTTTTCAGTTATATGAAACAGAAGAGTCTAGCTAAATTACTGTAATTTATAAGGACTTATGAGTAAAGTTTTTAAGAAAAAACACTAACATTTTCAATTTGCTTAGTTGCAGCAGTTGTTTTCATACTAATCAGTTTTTAAAAAACTAAGCAGAATGGAAAGTTAAAATTCAATTTTTTACAACCTAAATTAGTGAAATTTTCAGAAGCAATTTTATTAGAAGTTGTACTTCCAAGAGAAAGTTTCATCACCCTCGATCTTACTAGCCATTTGCTTTCCTGCCCTCTAGTGCCCATATCTATTTAAATCTTCTATGCAAGTCTGGTTTTTGAAACGTCCTATCATGTAAGTGGTCCTATAGAAATAAAGTTACTTACTTATTGTGATACTACAAGTGATCTAAGCAGTAATTTTGCTGTGGCTCACGTATGTGTCATACTGCTACCTATGCAGTTATCTGAAAAGAATTTTCAGGTTACATTGTTTTTTTAAAATGAAAAGTAAAGCAGCTTTCTTTTTCAGTTTTGGACCATATAATGGAGTTTTAAATGCATAAATTGAAGCTTACTTCTAGATTTATTATTAAAACATTTTCACTGGTAGCTAACGCTGTTAGCTATATACCAAACTACAAGCTTCCACAGTATTTACAGTTTTTCATCCACATTAAAATATTTTATATTTAATGCAATTAATTTCCCCTCTAATGATGCAGTTATAGTATTGTGCATGCTTACATTTAAAACAATGGGTTGACACACTATGTCTGTAATTACTCCCATGCTACTAGAAAACCAGTGAATTAAATTTATTTAGTGTTAAATGGATATGGAATGTTATACAGTACATGTAAAGACACTTCAAGATGAGTAAAGCAGAACTAATTGCACAAGAGATTAAAGGTTCACCTCAATAGTCAGTATTATCAAATCATTACAGCTTCCATCTTCAGAGTGCAAGGTATATCATGCAAAAAAAAAAGAGCTCAAAAAATCCCCAAACAGACAAAACCAACGTTGTGGTACCACTTAAAATGATATCATACCACAATATTTTACAAGACATTAAAGTGATCATTCATAGAGAATGAAGCATTTTAGCAATAACAAAAAGTTTTAAACATACTTAACAGATTTTGCATGAACAAGAATTCCAGCATTACTATACCTAAGGAACAGGCAACATGCTGGGAGAAAGTACCTAAAAATCAAAGCTTTTTTTATTTATAGCCAATATTACTTTCTGCAAGAGTTATGCAATCTTATTCAGATTCCTCACATAACTGGGTAAGGTTCAATACATTTTTTACGTAGAGCATAATCACATAACCACCACATCAGCAAGACGATTTCATTATCTTGACCAGTTACTACATTTAAAACCATGGTATGATAACATGCCCTGCAAACAAATTGTCTTCTGGGACAGTGTCCTGTATGTAGAAATATAAAACAACTAAAATATACTCCTAACCACTTTAACCCCAAATGAACTATAATTTGTATTTACATATTTTTGAAATATGTAGGTAAAAACTGCAGACAGAATAGAAGCAGAATACACAAGAGAGCTATGATAGGGCTGACTGAACTGATCGGTGCATTCAGTAATCCCGAATGAGACTTGAACAGGGGGTTGTATTTTTTGTACTCTTCCTCCACCCAAACAGGCTTACCAGGGCTACCGAAGGCAACTGCTGCTGTGGAAGAACCGCTCATCCCACTTACACACTCCTTGCACCGCTGGCTGAGCACAGGGAGTGGAACCTTGCACCCGACCACTTCCACTCAGCCAAAACCACTGCAGATAAACACACTTCTACGCACCTGCTTAAACTACAGCTTGAATGTTAACATGGAACAAACACAGGAGATGACAGGATGGTTTTTAATATTTCCACCACGCAATACTCATATCCTGAGGGCACCAACAGGTATATTAATTTACCAAAATAAGCATACAAAAAAGGCCAAGTTGTCTGCCCTCATATTAGGAATAAACTATTTAACTTCCCGGCTTAAATGTAAGCAAGAGGAACTCAAGAAAGACCTCCTTGAGGTTAATTTTCCAACTACATTCAATGAAAATAATTTACTAAAACTGTAACTTGCAAGGTTTACTAGCCTTGAAGTGAGGATACACTTTAACTATACCTATAATTAAATAAAAACTTCAGACGACATTTTACAGAAATAAAATATGCAACTCTAGGAAGTAGGTGGAAAAACACTTTAGTATTCAGCTGGAACACTCTACTTTCATAGCCCATCATTCTCAGGAATGTATATTTCATAAATAAAAACACAGAACAAAAATTTGCGTATTCAATCTAAAGTTGGGTATTTCTAAACCTCTTCAGATAAAATTTGCTTTCTCCCTCACAAATAAGTGATAAACCCTGAAAAAAATTGGCTTTTCAAATCTATCGTGCATGAGAACACAGATGAATAAACCAACATCTGGAAAAAACATTTTGTACAAGATTGCAGTTCTAAAACACTTATATTACAAAGCAATGTAAATAAATACCAGGCTAGTACAAAAGCTCTTATTTACAGTTTTACAAATGAAAACATTTTCAGTGTAAATGCAGTGTTTTAAAGAACACAGTATTAGTAAAATGAGTTCCTGTAGAGAGCATTATAATTTCTGTTAAATTTCAATGTAGTATTGTATAAAACCATTGTTTCAAGTTAATTTTTGTTTATAATTTAGTACAGCCAAACCCCAGTTTGTCTGGAATGGTATTTGTTAAAGTGCTGAAAAAAAGGACATTTTTGAAATTTTAGAAAAACATACTGTACATTATTAAAGCTTTATCAAGTCAAAAATGGTGTATTTTGTTCACATTTGCTACCGCACCACCTGTAGATGAAAGTTTTTCAACAACTTGTAATTAACAACATGGCAGCCATTGGTATCTTCACATCCAAAGTCTTATGGTTTCCCCCACAAGTAATTTGTCTTAAGCTTCAGTGGTGGCTTCAGGTTTCATAATCTGGTAAGTAATCAAGTATTCTGGATAAGCCTGAAAGAATGACACATACATTTTTTTATTATGATTTCATTTTCTGGATAAATTCAGAAAGTTTGCTACAGAGGGGAAAAGAAGTATTTATGCCAAAGAAAAAAAGGCAAAGTGTCAAAGGTAAAATGTCTGAAGCATTAAGGAAACACAGATCCTTTCACCTGCAACCACAGTTGGAGTTTGTTTTAAGACAAAAGCAAGTTCTATCACCTCGAAAGTAAGAATAAAACCCCCCAACATTACATACCTTTTTATTTAAAAAGTCCGAAGAACCAAACAAAAAAGCACTTTACCTGCTCCCCTCTGTAAATGACATATTCTGCCAATGCCAATCCATTTACACTGGGTCGCCCAGTAACTGAGTGATGTCCTGGTGGAGAATGAGCCATTTTCATAGCACTGAACTGCAGGAAAGACTTGCCCAGTGTTACACGACAGAACAGCAATTGCCTGTGTTAAAAGGGGAAAAAGAACCATGAATACAATATGCTAATGAAACTCCAGAAAGACTATCTTAATAATTTGAAACTTTTACTTAAGGAGAACAGTGGAATTTTAAAGCCACTTTAGTCACTTTGTAATTCACAGAATTCTGAAGTTCTGTTTTGAAGGACAAAAGTTACACTCCCTTTGGAAAAGCTCTTTAGTCTGAGGAAAGGTTTGGTAATAACATCAAAAAATGTTTATCTTAATTACTGGAAAGAGCATGCGTAAAAATGTACTCAAAGATTATCCCTACCTTTCCATGTCTTTTTAAAAATTGTTTGGTTTAAGTTTTCTGAGGGTGCTCCCACACTCCCATCACTCATACTAACAACATAATTCACTTGTGTTCTAACATCAGATTTATATCTAACAACCAAATCAACATCAAATCCAAATGGAAACTCTAGGTCAACACAAAATACCTCATACTAGCATTTGTCAGTATGTTATGTTGTTTTCTTTATAAAGAGACAGAACAAGGGTACTTATTTCTTTACCCATGTACTACAGTAATGGCAATGGAATCTCAGCATTTTTTTAGACCACTGTTAGGTACTATTTTGCTCAGTCAAAACCCTTGCTTTTCTAACTCTTCACAGAGGACAAATTAAAAAAAACCTTACTTGGAAAGCATGAAAAGATTCTGACATCCTCTATAACTCTATGATATTATTCTCTTTATTTGAGAGTGTCAGAAAAGAATAAGCACTATGAAAAGGGGCAGAGATTCAAGAAAGGAAACTGGAAGAATGACCTTATCCCTGTGATACCAATGTAAAACAGTATGCATGCAAACACACAAAGTATTCTCCTGGTTGAGACGGTGGCCACTACCACAGTTAAGTCTATGAAATAACAGTAACTTTATTCTGAACTGATGGTGTCAATAAGACGTAACAAGTATTCTGCAGACAAGTGGCCTGAAGAACTCAGTGGTACGAAGTCCACAAATTCACATCTGTATTTTAGTGTGTGAAGCAGCAGTGATGTGGGGGCTGACAGCTACAAAGTACATCCTCCTCAAGAAATACAGCATTTGAATATCACTGAATTTCTCCTTCCTCTCTAACAGGCCATGGACTAAACCGTCACATTGCTGCATCTTTCACACAAGCATCTAGCAGATCCTCTTCACTCTCCGGCCACCTAAGTCAAATTTTTACAAAAAGTTAAGGGCAAAAGTTTGGTTAAATGCACTGAAGATATTTAAGTCTTAAAGAAACTTTAACTATCAAAGTTTTCTGCAAGTCTATTAGGTCCAGCATACAGAGAGTGCTGAGAAGGTTTGGTTACCAAGCAAATCTTTCTTCAGAGAGAGACTGCTGACTTGATGGTCTATGAACAAAATATACAAAGGCAAAATCAGATTCTTTTGAATGACTTACCTGTGGCAAACATAACAAGATCTATCTTTGTGAATTGGACATCCAGTGCCACCTCCAATTCCATACACATATTGATTGCTTTTGGAAGAATTTTCGGCAAAATAAATCCCAGCTCCAAACATGCCGCCTATATAAGCATGTCTCTCATCAAAACCTTTGTGAATGATTGCATTCACAAACGGGGAGCCTAAGAGAAAGCAAGTAAAATATTGAAAATACAGTATACAGATTTTTGTATGTCACAATCCAATCATCCATTCCCAACTTTTCAGTACAGTTTTTCTACACATACAAGGAAATCAGTCTCCAAAAATTCCGATTCAGATTTACACAGCCAGTTCACTAGAGGTATTATACAAATGACAGTAGCTAGTAAGTGTACGTTGTAAACAAAGATTTACAAGGATAATATCTGAGACAACTCTTGCTGCAAGAGAAGGCTCCATGAATCTATATTCCCTTTGGCAAAGCTTCATTCTAACCAAGATTCATTGAATGCATTGCTACACAAATCCTATCTCCTTCTTAACATGAAGCAGATTGCATTTAAAAAGCAATAAATGTAAACCAATATTTATTTACTTACAACTGTCATAAAATTTAGCCTTAAAGAATAACCTGTTCAAAATGGTTGGATTCTGCATCTCAGGACACCTGATGCCCATTAATTTTCACAGCAAGTGCAGGGTTTTCTTAGTAAGGATTTTTATAACAGTACATATAAATATGAAAGCACCTGTAGAGGAAACCTTATCTAAGAGAACACAGCATTTCAGAGTTACGTTGAGAATTATAGGAAAAATAATCCAAAGACTTATCCTCCAGCCTAAAGATGATAAAACTTTATATTAAGCGGAAGAACATTCCAGATGAGAATGGAAAAAACCTATGGCAATTGCTCATCTTCTTCTGCAAATGGCATACATGGTTAAAAACATATGTTAAAAAATTTATATAAACTAAAGACTGAAAAAACCCCACTCATAAGGCATTAGTGGCTTTGTTCCAGAGATAATTTGTTATTATCTAACTAATTTAAAAGACTTTCTTTTAAAGACAGGTCATTCCTGTAAGAGGCCATTTCCTCTTACAGGGGTACAGACCACAGTCAAAAGACAGAATTTAGATATCTGTAAGTTTGAGCAAGCAGTTAATTACTGTGTTACTGCTGCTTCCAACAGTAATGTAATATGTTGGGAACTATGTAGCCTTCATTGTAAGGATGTACTGTGAACTTATATAATTTTTCCTGGTGAGCAAATTAAACATCTGTGCACAGGAGAGCCTTCAATTGGCTTTAATTTGGTAATTATAAGCTGTATCTTCTAGAACGATGAACAAGAATTAACTTCTCAAATTACAAAAACAAAAAACCAAGAAAATCCCACTCCAAACCCCAAAACAACCCATAGCATTTTTAATGGGTTGTTTTGGGGTTGTTTTTTAATCATTTTGGTCATAGAGCCTATAAACCAGAATTAGTAAATTAACCAAGGAGCAGGCATATCCCTTAACGTCCATTCATAATTGCTAAAATGTTTTCACTTAGGACTTTGAAGTCTCCTTTAGGGAGAGATGAGGAGATGGAAATTTCAGAAGAAAGATGCAGTGTGTTGTAAGTCCCCATTGCGACATATACAAACGCTTGTTCATGTAAAGTCATGCAAACCCTAGAACCTATTTCCACTGAGAAAATTTACTTTGTTTGAGCCAGCAGAAACCCTCCATTAAAGTGCTGACAGTGAAATGAGTTCATAAGGTGCATTTCAGTATCTCACCATGAAACAGCATCCTTTCATTAGCATGGTTATGATTCTCTTCAGAGACCTCCTTCCTCCTGTGAGTATATCTTTCCCACAGTTTTTTGTTGCACACTTTCTGAATCTGAAACAGTCAAAATATAAGTTCTGCCCTGAAACTGAGAATACGTTTCCTTTACTTGACAGATGTTAAACCTATTATACCACAGTACACTTCCACTGCCACTTAAACAAGAACTCAATGAAACATAAATTCTCTAACTTTTGCTGCAGAAGTTCATTGTTGTAGAATAACTTAAGTAAATAATAATTATATGCTTAATTAAGAATCAATTAATTTTAAACATCTGTTGAGCAATACATCTTAATTTAATTTTAGCAGGCTTAGTCACAATCCTACCTGAGTATCACTCCAAACACAGCTTGATGCCAAACCATTAGTAAAATGATCATCTAGTAAACTAGGAAGTGTCTTCCATAAAGATTTCTAGAGCATTTTAAAAGAAAGTAAATTATATACTCTCTGCAGAGGTATGCTGGACATTGACAAAGCTTTATGTGTGCAGAAATACTTTATCAATTCCACTGGGGAAACTGTAACATTAGTTCACAATAAAACTTAGTACTTATTTTCAAATCAAAATCCTGTAATTGTAATGAAAAAAAACATTTCTTCAGGTTAAAAAAAAAGGGCAAACCAAAATTCCACTAAACTATTTAAAGCAAGGTTGTCTACTAGCTGGTGTTTTAAGCTTCTTCAGCATTATATCAAGCCAAAATATGTACTCTTACTTCCATGCTTCACTTCTTGCTGTTTTCTGCCCTGCCATTTCCTCAACAGAAATCTTCCTTTGTTTCCCATAAAATCTTCTGTCTTTTTCTTAAACCATTCTGCAGTTTCCTGTGAGGTCCTTCTATGTCAATGTCTCATAAAATGTTTAGTGACTATTAACCCATAAGCAGTTTTTCCATATAATCTTACTCTTTGAATTTCCATGGAAGATGATCTTTTTCCTGTGCATGGCTCAGAACAGCATATCTTACCACAAATGTAGAAGATTTTATGGACATTTTCTTTTCAGCCAAAACTCTAAAGGTGTAACCATTGACCATAAAAATGCCACAGCTACCTTTAAGATGTTGTATCTATTGAAGACTCCACCAGCATGTCCTCCATCTCTATGCTCTCGGACAGTACTCTGCATCTGAAGATTAAGAATTTTAAGGAGGATCACTTTGTTTCAGAATACATTCAAAACATATATCCTCCACACAGTCAAAAAAAAAAAAAAAGAAATCAAAGGAACTAATTCTGTCTTTAAAAAAATCACAGAAGAAAATTTTAGGCAATGACTGTATGTTAAGTAATGACAGATTTTGTGGATGACCTGTGGAAACAGGTTTAATGATTTTTTTTTTTTTTTTTTTAAAACCTTATCTTGAATAGCCCACAGTCTAGTTTTCAAATTGAAAAATATTGTCACTAGTCCATTTAGAATATCATTTCTTCAGAATTTTGTCCTGTGTGATTAGGACACTTTGGAAGGAAGGGATTTAAAACTGTGTATAACAGACAGGCAGTTGGTAGCACAGAATTTGTATGTTATATCAAAGAACTTTTCTATATAGTAGAGATTTTAAAAATACTACAAGCAGTGATAACATAAGAAAAAAAAATATGGAGGTCATGAGCACAGTTTATAAGTGATGCAGTCAAAGTTTGGAATTTGAAGTATCCTTATGCAAGTTTTTCTTAGGTTTAGAGATGTTTATTGCACTGTTATCTACCAATACTTCTTTATCTACTTCTTTATAGAAATAACAAAAATACTGAAAGACTACAAAGAAGGGCATACCTCCTCTTCTACTGATTGAAATTCCTTATCTTCAGTAGAAAGATCTATGAGAATAGTTCCACTACCAGAAGTATTTAGTGTCAGGTAAGGGTTAAGTCCTGTAAATATAACAAAACACAAGAACAGTTTCAGAAACTGCTTTAAAACTGCTGGAGTGCTAACCAGTAAGAGATTTTTCTTTTTAAAGGGACGGTTTTCTCAAAATTCAATTTACAAGACAAAGAGGTTAGCTGCTAAGGCAGAGATTACCAATGATTGTAATTGCTTTTCATCGGCCACATACGTTTTTGCATATGTCAAAGTGTGATCCCTCAAATAATTTCACTGGTTTCAAATAAACTTTTTCAGCATCTGTGTTTATAAACTCTACTCCTACATTATCATGCATACACTATAAATGCCATGAGAAACACAACAGCAGATGGATGCAGATTAATGGCAATCATTTTTATTGATCTGTGGATACTGATAGATCATTCTCTCGACAAGAATAAACATTGCAGACACACTAACCCATTTGCCTGTTCTTATCTCAGTATGTTTAGGTACAGGACAGGGAAACTGTATATAAGCAGTTGCTTGCTTAAGAGCTCATTTCAACTCTAGGCAGGGAAACAGTGAGCTACCTGTCCCTGTACAGTCTGTGACTACTGATGGAAATGGTATCATGAACAAGAGAACTGATTTGAAGTGCTAATGCAGTAGGAATATTTTTCCCATGGATCGTGCAGAAAGAGCTGACCAAAGAACTAAGATCATCTGTGAAGCTAAAAGGCCTGAACCTGGTACTGAATACTTGAAGGATACTGAACGCTTAAAGAGAACTTTTCTATCATTTAAAATATGCAAAATAAAATTGGATTTTTATGCAGAATCCATTGCTGATTTACATACAGACTTCAATCAGAACTGGCAAGTGACAGGAATGTAATTACTGAGCATAAGAATACAAAGACAGTGTGTATCGAGTATCTTTGCCCTCAGCCTTCCCAGACAACTAGCAGGTGACCAAACTTAGATGCCGGGTCTGTCATAATCTCTCTATAAAGGAATAATGTGGGGAAAAGGGAAATTACAGATTCATCCACAGTCAGGAGCCTAATGTTAGCAGTATGCAACTGGAATAGTGTTCAGGAGCAAGAAACTCTGGCAAGAAAGCACCAAAATAAAGCTCTTCCAAAAAAGCCCTACTAACCTTGAAATAATGGCTATACTGTGTTCAGAAGAGATGCCAAAATACCAATGCTAACATACTTGAGTGCAAGAGCACAACAGCAAGATATAGAAAATTGACAGAACAACCAAACAACAACAATCCTTCCCACTCTAAAAACACACCCTAGAAAAAAAAAAATCAAGAGCTGTTCAAATATTCTGTTGAATTACTTATGCCTGTAGTTAATGTTACAAATAAAAATGTCAGGCCTTTTATGGCAAGACAGGAAGAGTCTAGAAAGAATGGGGGTGGGAGTTTTGAGGGATTTAGATGTTTGACATTCTGTCTATATACAGACATATTAAAATATGTACAGATATACATACGTTCAAAAATACATCAGTCCTACTTGGAAGGTAAAACCTGTATATGATCACTGGTTATGTAAACTTAGAACTCAAACAGGACATGAGGCTGACATGTCATCATAAAGTAACTTCTGTCCAAAATACTCAATAAATCTGTCAAAAAACACCTGACAAGAAAATTCTGAAGATTCACTTACATACTTCATTACTAGGAAAAGGATTAGCTTAAGGGTTCGTTAATACTGTTTTAAGGAGCAAAAAATAATTTAGAGCTTGGGATAGTGACTCATTACTATGGAGTACAGATTTTAGAGTGAGAATTCACAGACTGTCTCAAGAGGGGAAAACCCCCCTACCAATTCTAACTAATTCATTCAATTTCTATGAAACATAGAAAGACAACAGTAAGTGATGTTTCAGTGAAACAAGGAGGAAAAAAAAAGTGGTGGTGGGTTTTTTGGGGTGTTTTTTTTTTTTTTTTTTTTTTTGTCTGTTATGCCGCCATAGTTAAATGAAGCATACTGTTCCCAAGATTGTGCTGGTATCAACAGTGCTGCACAAATAAAGAGGCTTTAGCATAAACTCCAATACAAGCTGAAGCTGTTAAACAAAGCAGTTACGTTAATTTTGGTTCACTGAAGAACACCAACTGTATTTTTACAGAAAAGTATACGTAAGAATTTCAGTTGGCTTTCTGAGAGAGCAAACACAGTATTCTTTTGCAGAACCCAATGGTACAGTACCTAAACAGTCCCTAACCCATCAATCGAAAATGTGTTCTGTTCTCCAGTAATCTGAAGATAAATACTCCCCTACCTCAAAAAGCTTACAATCATTTTACACTAGATCTACACTTTACCTAAGTAAACACAAAACAGTGATTACAATGAAAAAAAATACACTAGAGAACTGAAAGGCAAGATTCACAATAGTTCACATCACAAATAAAAGCACTTATGCTTCAAGTCAAAAGATATTAATATAATTTGAAGTGCTATTTTCTAGGATAAGTGTTATTATCACTTCTTTTTAAATGAGATACAATCTGGAATAATCTAAAGCATTTATAAAAATGGATTCTATAAAGGCAGTATTACATAATAATTTGAAACAAGTATATACCTTGCTGTCCAGAAATTAGTCTTTCAACTCCTTTAATGATTTTATGCCTATGGCCATAAGCATTAATTCCAATTTCCTTCAATTCTTTGTGTCCCATTTCGACCAATACATCCAGTGTTATCTATAATGAAGGGAACATAATTTTTTTTTGTATAACAGCATAAACAGACTAAAACAGCTGCCAATGACAGTGAAAATATACCTCTCAATAGCTGAGATAAAAAACAAGTGTGAAAAGAACATGAACATTAGAGTTTATCGTATTATTCTCATACTTCACTTTTACTCAACTGTTTTCTCCAAACTTTTGTCTTTAAATAAATATCCTACAAACTGCAATTGTGTAACTCTTATTGCTTGCAAGGATTATGTTTCTGACTGAGAAATAGTTTTCTAGATGTATTCAAGCCAACAGAAACAAACCCAGAAATTACTGATCAACACTGACTACTTATTTACTCCACCATTCATACTGCTGAAAGAAAGCACGCCTACACTCTTGAACTGATATAATTATTGCCCCCAGTTTTTTTTATATATATATTTTGATATATATTTATATTATATATAACATTTAAAAAAAATCCAGTTACACTCCTTTCCTTCATTCCACTCCCTCTGACATTCACTCATTTTAAATGTCTCATTATGTTATTCTAAAGAGTCAGTATTTATTCCTTTGCTTTCTAGCTGAATATCCAGCAATAGTTACGCTACTTACCTGCTCTCTCTCAAATATGTCAATTAGATGTTCAAGGCCAAGGTTCCGTACAAATTGATTTATACTAAAATCTACACCTGAAACTGAGTGAGAAAAAAAACTCACAATGAACATTCATAGACATACTTTAAAATAAAGCATACACATCTTACACTGTCTGTGGCAATAAAGAAAGAGACAGAAATTCCTGGTCTTCTGAAAATGGGGAATAAATATCTGTATTGCTAACCAGTGGCAACTATTAATTAATCTACCCGAGTACTGTTAAGATTTCTAGTCCTTCCAAGAGCAGTCTTTGTGCCTCCATGAGATAAGCAACTAACTACCTACCAGAAACAGAAAATATTTTGAGAACTAAAATGTTACAGAAGTAACCTTTTCAAGACATCTGATCTAAGAATGGCCTCTTAAAAATGAGATAAAGTTTGTAGTAAAATACTGCTTGGTATGGAGCCAAATTTCGTTTGACTTCTCTTTTGAAACACAATTCACCATTTTGGTTCTGTACAGCAAAAAAAGGAACATTTTAAAGATTCTGTAAGGGTCAAGTACTAAAATTTTATACTACAAGACTTTAGACTTCTGTTCCTTATTAACGACATCATAAGGAGTAGGGATACTGCATCTGTCATAGTAACTGTGTAGGAAACTTCACACTTATGTATTCTTTTTACCATATGGTAGAAAATGTTATTCATTCCTAACTGCGAAAGCCTCACCTTCTTTTTTCTCCAGAACAGTAGTTCCCTCTGCACTGTTTGTACCAACAACAGAAGGAAGTTCAGAGAAACTACCAGACAAGTTGTCAAGACTACTTGCAGCAGACAGACTGGATGGACTGGACGGAACAGAAGACAGGGCATCAGCTGTAGAACCTGTAGTCTGAGACACACTTATAACCTGAGGTTTGTAGCAAGACGGTAAGGCAGAAGGAGGCATTGCAGCTGTCAATAACGCGCTGACATCATCTGCCTAAATAGCAGAAAACAACTTATCAGAACAGGAACACTGTTACACAGCATTTTGTCCTAGAACACATTATCATTATTTCAGACTTCCTAAGTACATGGCAAAATAAATCAATGCATATTGGAAAAACATGTATTTTACAATGCAGTTTACAAATGGCCTTCTGTGCTAACAGCATACATGAAACTGTAAAATGCTTAGAAATAAAAGCTGTAATAAGGTAAAAAGACTGGAATATTTAAAAAAAAACTTTAGGGACAGTTAAACAGAATTCATTTTATAGTAAGAACTAACAAAAGCTTCTAGTGGCAACCAGCATTTATGAAACAAAACAGTTACTCTGAGTATAGCTTTGAATTGTATTATAACACTTAGAGCTAAAAACTTAACTGACAGATAGTTTCCTAAAGTTATGTTGCTACAAAGTTTGCTTACATTTTATTGCCACAATTTTTCTATTAGTATCGAATTAAAAGCATCAAATTATAAGCATGAATTCCTTTTGTTGTTGTTGGTTTTTTTTTGGTTTTTTTTTGTGTTTTTTTTTTTTTCTCCTTTTTGTTCTCCACCCCCCCTGCATTTTGAAATAAGAAATTTTGAGCAAGAAAATATTTAAAGAAGGTTTATAAAGGCTCTACTGACTTTCCTTATCAGGCACATATAAACAGCAGAGAAACCACAGTATTTTAAATTTTAAGAAGTTGCCATATTACTACTTTTTTTTTAAAGGGCAGTTTTTAGATGAGCTGCCACAAATGGCAGGTAAGTACAGATTTCCTAAGAGCAGCCCCATTGCTTACAGTGACCAGGTCCAATGGTGTTTGTCCTTCTTGGTTTTTCAGAGTAGGATCAGCCCCATGTGCCAGTAACAAGGCACAAAGCTGTGTCCTTCCTTTCTGAGCTGCTTCATGCAGAGGTGTGAATGCCCATTTGTCAGTAGCATTCACACATGCATTATACTTTATAAGTAAAGCTGCTACATCAACATGCTGGAAAATAAAAAACACCTGTTAAATAAATCCAAGGTACCACATTGTGTTAAGTTATCTCAGAACTATTTCTGACACTTCCCTGTAATCCTTGTTTTGCATTTTCTTAGATGTACTTTTAATTATGATCAACAACAACAACAAGTATTGAAACAAGTTGTTTTCTTCCTCACCTATAACATACCAGTAAAAAGTTAAGATTTACTCTCTTGTGAAAAAAAGGATAGACTACAATAGAATCCCAAATCCAGGGGAATCTGAAGGAAAAAACCCTGAATTTGAACTTCCAGTTTGGAAAGTACTTCAACTGTTTTGATTAAAGACTTGATCCAAGCACAAAGATCCAGGAAGTCCAGAAAAACAACTGGTGTCTCAACACCAGCCAAATAAGTAAAAATGAGATCTTGCCGATAAATTCAACTGGCACAGGTAAGGAAGTGCATTTAAGAGAACACCTTTCAGGCTGCTGGCTTTCTAAGCATTCATGCTCAGAAATCTCAATTCTTTAAAATCCAACCATGATTTTACAAAATCAAGTCTCCACCTATACAATGAGCTGACTATAACAGATTTTTTTTTTTTTTTTTGCATTTTAGGTTTTACAAATAAGATGACATTACAACTCAATGGCAGAAGCTTTCTAGAGAATATTGGCTCACAATGTTGTCAATTAAATCTATCACTTTTTTTTTTTAATAAAGCAAGCCTCAAAGTTTGAGATGTTTACCCCGTAAGATGCTGCATTATGCAGAGGAATCAAACCTCCTTTATCCTGTGCATTCACATCTGCTCCATGCTGTAGCAGGTACTCTGCAACCTCCAAATTGTTGTAGCCAGCTGGAAGGTTGCAAAAGGACACAACAGACAGAACATATTAAAAAAACCAAACCAAAACAAAACAACTCAACAGGCTGTAGAAAAGTAGTAATTCACTTAAATTACTTGAAAGTTAAGATGTCAATCCCTGTGATGACAGTGCATTACCTATTAGAGAGGACGCTTAACTGTATTTAAGAGTATTTGGTTTTAAAACCTCTGTCGATAAACAATAAAAGACCCTTTTTGGCTAGAGAGAACAGGAAATTAAAGTCATTAAATAGTTTAGAAGAGGAACATAAGATGAATATGCATAAATGTTGTGGTTTGAGCCTACTCAGCAGCTAAATGCCACACAGTCGCTCACCCACCCTCCCCCCACTTGGGAATGGGGAGGGAATCGGAGGGGCAAAGGGAGACTCGCGGGTTGAGATAAGAACAGTCTAATAATAGTAACAGAATAATACACTGACAGCAGTATCAACAGGTAATGTACAATACAGCTGCTCACCACCCGCCGACCGACACCCGCCTGCTCCTGGCCAGCGATCCCAAACACAAAGGCCCCACAGCCACACTCCCAGAAGTGGCAGCCTCTCCCGGCCCTCTCCTGCCTTTATATAGTGAGCACAATGTCACATGACATGGACTATCGGCCAATCGGGGCCCAGCCCTCCAGCTGTGCTCCCCCCGCCCCCGCACACAGGTGAGGGCACTGGGACCTGGGGAGCCCCTGGGGTCTCAGGGTGCTGCAGCACTCCTGCTGCCAGACCAACAGGAACTCTAGCCCAGCCCCAACCAGGACAATAAAATACTAATTTTCTTTTTTTTTTTTTTTAAAGAAAAAATATGTAATCCTCTAGCTTGAAGCTATAATTTAAACCTCCTTAATTACAGAAAGTTCAGCCACAGGAACCAGTAACTCTGATCAAACCAGTTAACTGAAACACTGACCTGCTAAATGTAGTGGTGTTGAATGCCGTCCTTGAGTGTCCCGACAGTTGACATTGTCAGGTGAACACAGCTTTTTCACTCGGGCCAAACAACCTTTCTTTGCAGCATCTAGTAGAGCTGCATCTCCTCTAAGTAGGTCCTGAATATCAGTATCACCATCTTTAACAAGGTCTAGAGGAGTATTTCCATCTCTGTTTTTCTTTGTAGGGTCAGCTCCATGCTGTGTACATAAAAAACAGGTGACAAGTATGTAAGTAGAATAAACATATTGGATCTTATGCATCTGATGCCTTATTGAGCAAATATTCTGACATATTCAAATCCTTTAGAGAGAGTCTTCCATTTACTGTGTGAGAAAGGACAACGGTTGCTAATAGTATCCATTTTACTGAAAACATACATTTAACTACTATCATTTAGAAATGACAAAACACAAATCAGTTTCTCAAAGAAGTCCAATCACATTTCAGACTGAACAAGAAAGAAAAGCAAGTAACTTCTCATAAGCATATGTAATACCTGTAACAGGAGTTTGCAAATCTCATATTTTCCTTTTGCTGCAGCTTCATGCAAGGGAGTAAATTTCCACAAGTCGGCTACATTGACAACTGCACCATGTTTAACCAGAAGTTCTGCAACTTCATAGTGACCGTATGAGCAAGCATTATGTAAAGGGACAAGTCCTCTGAAAACAAAAAAAAAAAAGAGAAAAATTATCTTTAAAAATTGGGTCTTTTTTATAACCTTAAAATGCAATGCACCTTCAATCATCAAACCGTAACAAAAATATTAAAAAAAAAAAAAATTTTCCACAAGTCTAATATAGTAGGAGTATCTACTGCCAAAGTGGTAGACACACAATCAGCAGTGGCACTGAAGAGAAGTAAAAACACGGGGCCAGAGAAATTCTTGATGCTCTAGTCTCAAGTACTGCAAAATGCTTTTGTGGATAATCTGAACATCTTGATTCTGACAGAACTTTCCATGAAAACAAAAATTTAAATGCCTGAAGAAAGGTGCGATGCTTATCAGCTAGCAATATTCAAGAGCTGACAGGTATTAGCAATTACAAATGCCAAGAAAACATACATTTGAGTATTTACCCCTTATCTTTTGCATGCACATCAGCTCCATGCTGAAGAAGATATTCGACAACGGATACTCTATTATATCCAGCTGCAAAATGAAGTGGTGTAGACTGACGTCCTTCAATATCTCTGCAGTTCACACTCTGAATTGTACATAGTTTCTGTGAAATTCCCAAAACAAAACATACATCACTACATATAGTGTTGACACACTTTTAAGTTGAAAAATTGGTTTCATTAAAAATAAAATTTATTTCTTCATCTATTTTTACATAAAACATTTACTTTTCATAGATTGTGTCCCAAGAAAAAAAAAATTAAATACTCCCTCCTCATAAATCCACACCTGTGACTTCTCATTTACGCTTTTATATAAGACAAACTTCTGGCGGTGGTGAACATTACATTTTTTCATCTGTAGCATTTGCACAATACAAAGGTTTTATAAAAGGTATCACAACTCCAGAACAGTCAGCGAAGGGCTGTCTGATAGACTGTTTTGAGAAATGATAGTTTGTGCTACAGCTTCCTCTTGTTTTTCAGACAGGTTTAAGCTTACTTTTACAGTATCCACATCTCCAGCCTTTGCAGCCTCCAGCAACTGTCGATCTGCATCAGAATTACCTAATGGGATACCTTCTGCAAAATAAATAAAGTTGCATAACAGGCAAGTGTATGTAGATGACGGAATTTGTTACGATAGGAAATCATTTGGATATTTCAAGTATTTCCCTTAAAAAAAAGTTAACCAATTATAGACAAATTTTGTATTTTCTTACTATCTATTGTAGCTATTAGCTCTAACAGTGCTTCCAAAGTTGCCTTTAGCAACATGCTTCCTGTCCATCTTGAAGTACTGTGAAACCAACTAAATATTCCTATTTCAGTTTCAGAATTAGCTAAGCTTCCTGATGCAGTCTATGTGTATAATGTCCAAATCTTACTCTTGAAAATCCATGTACCCTGTTGTCCCTACTCACAAATGCAAAGCAGCCATTTTTTGCCTTTGAAACTCATTTTCTACTTAGAAGACTCCCCCCTGCCTACACCAGGAATTTTCCAAAATTATTCCCGGTGACTATACGGGGAAACATTCTGAGCCTCTCTGACAATCTGTGTAGCTGAATACTACAGAGTAAATGATATTGTTAACTACACCTAGAGCAGGCACTCTCTGTGGACATGGTTGTGCAATAAGAACTGCACAACCCAGTACTGTCTTTTGTAGAAAGGACTTTTTTTTTTTTTTGACTTGTGTTCACTATTATTCCTTGACAGCACTTGAAATGACAAGTGCAGCACCACATTACTTCAGAAGTGGATCTTGAATAAAACAGTTATACCTTGCAGTAGCTGTTGCACACTTTCAGTCCCCATTTGTAAGGCTGTAAAGCCCTGAAGAGACACAATGGAAGGATCACATCCAGAACTCAACAGCAATCTGCACGTCTGAAGATGACCACAATGTGCTGCTCTATGAAGAGAGGTCTGGCCAAGGTTATCTAAGGCATTAACCTAAAAATAACAGACAAGAAATATCACCATCAAAACTTAGTATTAAAGCTGGTTTTATTGCTGATGGGGAGAATTTCGCAAGCATTCTTCTTACTTTAATTAAAAGAACATAGTCAGCACATCTCCAAAGGCTGTGACATTTCAAAAGATAAAATTTAAACCAAAGCAGTTCATAGAGTTGTAACTACACTTACTGAGGAAGAACAGGCAGGCCCCTTTTAAAGGCATGTGGATAATCCAGTGTAAACAGTTACAGCAATTTTACCACATACAGAAGCAAGCTGTTATTTTACTCATAGCAGCACAAATCCTCAGTGCAAACACATAGAACAGCTTTTACCTGCATTGGCTTATTGTGATTTTTCAGACTGAAGACTTTCTAGGTGTTTCAGTCAAGGCATATTTAACAACTTAAAACTCTGCACCCAAAGGTTACTTGTGTTCTCTACTGTTCCTCTGGTTTTGATCATTGCTTTGGAAAAAACACAGCAGTCGGGCTGTAATCAAATTTCCATGAGAGAGAGATTCAACTCATAGTTTTGGAGGATTCAAGCATTAAAGAGATGATCACCTCTCCACTTTTTATTTTCGTGGAAATTTGAACTAAACACTATGTTATGAATTAACATTTTGCCTTCACTGTAATTTTTACTGCACACAACACCACGTAAAGTCTACCTGTTATACAGTTAACTCTAGCTTCTTGTTGTTCATATATATCCCTTATTTTTTTTTTTCCTTAAGCATTTCATTACTACTGCTGGATAATGAAGCACTGAATAAGACACCACAAGATCTCAGTGAGAAGAACTACATCTGTACTTCTTAGACAATAGGACCACAACGATGATGCCTCAATATACTGATGGATTGATGGCCTTTGTCTTAAGTGTATAACTGACAACCTTCCAAAATTAATTATTTTAGAAAAGTCTGTCTACTCAGCTATCCTTTCTCATTGTGTGAAAGCCTATATAACAGGCAAACCTTAATAATAAAAAAAAAAGCATGAATACTCATACCTTAGCTTCATGTTTCACAACTACTTCAACAACATCATTATGAGCCTTTTCTGATGCCACATGCAGAGGAGTCAAGAAGCTTTAAGAAAGAAAAAAAAAATCAAAAATGTATTTTGCAAAATCTAGTAAACAAACACTTAGGAGTATTCATTTGTAACCACTTACTCTTTTGTTTTTTCATTGATGTTGGCTCCTTTCCTCAGCAACAATTCACATACTTGTTTTCTCTTAGGATATGGAGATGCAGCAGCACAGTGCTGAGAACATTAAAAATTGTAGCATTAGCAACTAGCTAGCAATACACAGGTTTTACTGCTTGCTGATCAGCTGGCAGTTAAGAGCTGGTTGTGTGCTAAGTCAACAGAAAAAAAACCCAAAACATGTAGAAGCTTACTAATTCGGGAGATTCCATGTGGGCTTTTGGTTCTAACTCTGGTATTTTCCAGAGCTCCTTCTCCAATAATTGGTGAAAACCTTCAAGCTTTACAAAGTTAACATACGTAGGCTGCTGTTGGTTAAAACCAGACCATTCTACAGAAAAACAGTCATTCAGACAACCTAAATTGAACAGGCAATTTAGACTAGTCTTAATATTAACCTTAAGAACAAAATATTAGCCAATGTTATCTGTTTAACTAGACACTGGATATTCCAGGCTGCTCTGAATTACACTGTTTGACACTGAAATTTTTAGTTCTAAACTATTACCTAGTGTGTTTAGGTCAGCCACAATATATGCAAAGTAATTAATAAATTCTGAGATATTACCAATGCTGTCTCATGTGTTTGAGGATGCTTGAAGTTCACTGTCTCCAAAGAAAGATGTTTCTTTATACGAGCTACATCTGATTCTCTTGCAGCCTGCAGCAGTGAGTGACCTTTGAATTCATCTTTAAAAATAAATAAATATATACCATAAGGTTACACTCCTTAATTTGAGAAGGATCAAGAGGATTTTCTTTCAGTTATATAAAAATGTTAATTTTATTCAACAGACCATGGTGCAGACATTTCCAACCCAGACTTAAGCTTTTACATCACTGGACAGACACTTGTTAGCTAAGTCAAAACACAACAGGAATGCACATTGTTTCTAAACCAAAACCAGAGATATCCAAACTGGCTAAACAAGATCTATTTCACTCACCACTGTCCTAAGTTCCTCTCTTTGCATATGTACCAATTCAAGCATATATAAATCTCAGCTTCTGACCTTTCTAGACGCTAACATTATTTACTGATAGTTTTTGTACATATCCCAGAAAGTTACTGTCTGACCACTCAAGGGCATTCTTTTCAACTCCTTAGTTTGCTGGACAAAAATCAATGTCTTTCCTCAATTTCTTTGAACTTTCAGTGATTGTGGCATACTCAAACATATTCAGCATTCTAAACAGTTATGCATTTTATTTTCTTTAAACAAAACACAGGGGAATAAAAATGAGTATTTCAACAGTCTTGATGCAATGACAGGAGCAAGTACGGAAAATTAAAGTGTACTGGCAAGGTCATGAGGGAAAGCATGTATTCAGGGAGGAAAAGCTACAAACCGCATCACAACCACATGATTATAAAACTGACATTATTTTAAATGCCTATGTTCTGAAAATCTAGCAATCTCAAATTATAAGCACTGAAACGTACTGTCCAACATTGCACAATTGCTTGGAACGTGTAAGCATTTTCCAAACCTTATTTCCAGCAGGTCAGTGTCTAGGGAACCTAAGTACACATTACAATCTCTAACTGTAGAATTGATCTTACTTTATACTCACATGCTAATCGTTCTTTTAATTGGGGTGTTGGAGCCAAATCAATGGTGCTTTTGTTGTGACAGTTCAACAGTGTTGGGTCAGCACCATAACTTAACAAAAGAGAACATACTTCCACCCTGTTCTTAGAAGCTGCTTCATGCAGAGGGGTGAATTGCCACAGATCCATTGCATTCACACATGCTCCATGCTTGAAAGGGAAAGAGGTAAAAAAGATGCAATATCAAAACCAGATAATTAGAAAAAGACTTCTCTCATTAGTTTCAACACAATAGACTTAAAATAAGTAAATCAATGCTTGTATGCAAACTGTATCCATGACATTCTCCAGACTTTCATTTTCAATAATATACAACATTTCAGCACATTGCAGTTTTTAATCCCAGTGTCTCATAGGTACATTCAAAGAAGCCAAAGGCAGGCTAGTCTCTTCAGGTCTTCTCCAGCGTCTCTAAAGGAAGAGTACCTCTGCTACAGGTCAAATTGGAGAAAGAGCCTAATTCATACACTCCAAATCACCTTTGAACAAGCTCCTGTTTCTTTCTGCTCTAGAAAAAGTCTAGAGCAAGCAGTTGCACTGAGATAAATACATGTTCTGTGAATACCCCGCAAGATATGAATGTCAAAGTATCTAGGAGGAGATACGCACTCCAAGTTGACTTAATTTAAGTAATACTCTGTAATACTTTTGGATGATTAGTAGCTGTGTAATTCTTCTCCAGTGACATTATGCATGCACCTTGAGCTCTATCTGTAAGCAGGTCTGGTAGGACATACTTCTTCACATTGCTCCTGTTAAAGCTGTAATGCTTTGCAAAAAAATAATTCAAAATTCACTGGAGCAGAAATCCAACAGGGAATACAACTCTAGCTTAAGTCTTAAGGTATGCAATAGTGTCTAGGCAAGACGTTTTTTTTTTGTCTAGTACCACAGCTGTAAAGATTCACTTTACAATTGGCTTCTGAAGTATATAAAAAATCTTGGCTTTTTATATGTATTACAATATATGTTTTTTTTTTTTTCTCAGTAATTTTTTACTTAATTTTTGCTAAATACAAAAACACATGGAATTAGTGGGGACTGAGACACAGGATAGAGCAACAACAGCTATTCCCTGATCACCCAAACATCTAGTGTTATCTAACAGAACACCCTCAGCTATTACAATGATCATGACTTGCTACAGCAGCTGAGAATGGGCACAGTTCAAAAGTCCCTTGGTGGACAACATTCACAGATTTTTGCAGGACACACTTCGAGCCACTAATTTAATGTGCATCATACTTTATCTTCAAGATTAACAAAATTCAGGTAAGACACTTCAGTTCTGAGAGTTCACTTACGTTAGGAAAACTGACACCTTTTTCTTTCTTTGGGGTGAAGGCTACAATTCAGGGACAGAATTAATGTTGTAAAGTTCACTCCCTCGCGAGACTGATTACTCTAATTTTAAAACATTTACAATCTTTACCAGTATTCTTGTCAAAAACCTCTTAATACTCTGTCTTCTCAAATATTTTTCTATTGACAAACTCACAATATTGCTGTTTTTGAGGGGGTTTTTTTGGGTGAGAGTGGGACGGTTGAGACAAAAAGCACTTCCTTGGTACAAAAACATTAAACTTTGGAGCAGAGAGAGTTAAAAACAGAAAGCACATTTATAAGGAAAAAGCCTCCTTGCAAGAAGAAGATTCAGTAGCTCCAGCTTAATGATCGCTAACTAACATGTAGAACAAAGGCAATCTATAATTCTTTAAATTTTGTAAACCTAAGTACAAATTTAAAAAAATATGCAACTTGCATCAGTCCATTATAAGCTGTTCTTATTTAATAATACACAATTTAATCTCTTCAAAGACCAACCTTTACTAGAAGCTCTGTTACTTCATAATGACCATAGGAACAAGCATTGTGAAGTGGCACCAAATCTCTATATAGGAGAGAAAAGGGGAGGATAATTATTTTAGTATGCATATTTCAATTCCAAATGCATCTATAACATTACAAACGGTACTATGTTGCACCTTGAACATTTTACAAAAATAATATCAGAGATGTCCAAATGAAGTTGAGGGGAAATAAGAAGTTGAAGAACCCAGAAAATTCCATTGGGATTTTTCAGAAAAATAAACATGTAAAATAATCAAAGATGAGAATTTAATTGCACCATCTTACTGCAAACGAAATGGTTCTGATCAGACTCAGAACCCTAAGCAGGAAGAAGTAGCTGCAGGGGATTTTCAGGAGTGACATTAATTATTTTCTTTTTCACAAGAACATTGCTGTAATCTTATCTTCTCCCTTGGAAACTAAAGTCTTACTGGCTAATGTTTAAGTAATTGTACAATATTCTACAGTAACAGCAGAGCTAGAGTTTTTAAAGTCAGTTTCATACTCTCTTAAACCCAGTGATCTTAGGAGCAAGTGAGAAATTGCCCAAAATGAATCCTTTCACTGTGGGCTAGTAAGGGAGAAATGACAGAAGTGAATTCCAGCTCCAAGGGGACAATTAAAGCTGTCTGATCAGGCAGCTATATATGTAGCTGTAAAGTGAACCCGGGAAAAAGGAGGAATAAGAGCTCGTTTTCCATAATCTTTAATGTACATAAAAACACGGGTTTTATTATATTTTATGTAACTAAATAAACTCAGCATGTCTAGATTTCACTACATTTCCTCACGTAACACCCAAAGGCTTAAAAACATAGCCCAAATAAAACCTCTGGGAAATAGATCTTCAATTTTTACCACATTCTTTGCAAAAAGAAGCACAGAAACTTAAAAATAGAAAGAAAATTAGGATTGACTCAACCATGGAAATATTTGCTGATTTCACAGTGGTGTATGAATGTATTTTATTAAACAAGAGATATTAATTTGGCTAGTGATACCTAAAAGGCAGTATGTTCTGTTGTGACATCAATTTGGTTTCTACTGATTCACAAGTCTTAAGCCTGTACGCACTGTATTTTTGTCATAAGAGAAAGGTTAAAGATAGCATAATGGTCTCCAGTTAGAAATTCTTAATGGCTGAAATAGTAATACTAACTATTCTTTACTTCATCTAAATTTTTAACAAATCACGTTTATTCTGAACAAAGGAAAAACGAACCTACCCTTTATCCTTAGCATGTACGTCAGCCCCATGTTGCAGTAAGAGCTGCACTATTTTTACACGGTTATACCCAGCTGCTAAATGTAAAGGAGTAGACTGAAAGGACAGAATGTAGAAGTAATTAGTAACACAAAATCAAGGGTTGATTTTATATTTATTTATTTCAAAACTGGTTAACAGTAGTAATTACTGAAGTCCATAAAGTACTTGCAACAGTTAAAAAACCAACAGCGTGCTTGAATCAGACATTTGATAACTATGTTGTTTACCAACTACTCTTGCAGTTATCATAAACACAAATCCTGAATTTATTCCATCATTAATACAATTCTCCTCCCTAAAGGATTTTTGACTTCTGCAGTCCATTTTTGTCTTTTAGCCTACCATAACTATACTTTCCTGAGACAGACTACGTCCCATGTGAAAGGGGAAATAAGATGGCTATTAGAAACAATGACCACTAAACTATAAAGAGGTCTCCCTGCCAATCAACAGATTACATTTAGAAATTATTGACAGAGATTGTTATTTACATCTGTGAATGCAGTTAGTGGGGTGCACGGGAAACTTAATCTTCTTTTCTAAATTCTCACCTTCCACAGCACAGTTGGGTAACTGCTCTATGATCTTTACTAGGAAATCAACTCAAGCATACTCAGCAGCAGCACCAAGGGCTGAACTACAAATTAGTGAAGAGAAATCTTATCCTCTTTGTTTACAAATCCATCAACTGACCTGGATTTATACAGTTCCTAGAGGATGAGCCTCATAATTAGAAGATAATAAAAAAGAGATGCATAAGTGTTTTGCATATCCCAATATCTTACCACAAAGCCTTAAACATGGAAACTCATCTGAACAAAACCTAAGTGAATGAGTACACATATTTAATGAGAACACTGAGGATGACAAAAATTGATACTCAATAATCTGAACCTTTGGTAGGCTAGGGGCTGAAGCCAGGAGATTATCAGGAATTTTTAGCATGGAGATTTTGAATGTTCTTCATATAGTTCTTTACCAATACTTATAGTGATGAATGACTTGTTTCTGAAACAGCAGTGGTAACTTGCCGAGAGCATATGGCACATAAGGGGCCTGTGTCTATCTGTTTGTGACAGCAACAAGAATCTATGAAAAGGCATTCCTCCTTTATTACTGCAGCTGTGAATGTCAAGCAGAAGTTCCAACTGAAAATGTGTCTGTTTATTGCTCCTAGATGTAAATACCTACACAGTCCTTTTAAGGTTAAAAAACAAACAAAAAATCAGCTAGCTGCTAGAGAGGTACAATCTTATTTTCCCACATATATTAAAGAAAATAGATTTTATGTTTAACATGCTTAAAATCTGGTCAAAAAAAATACTGTGAAACATGTAAGAGTGAACTAATTTTAACTGGGCTTTACACAAAAATACCTTTCTGCCGTCACTTGCATGACAGTTAACATTTAATGGTGTAAGAAGAGACATCATCTTCTCTTCGTTTCCACTCCTGAAAAACAAGATATGAAATGGGCAGAACTATTTTTATTCCAGTTTTTAGTAGCTTATTATGTTTTTATATTTTTTCTTGCTATAATGTTTAGCAGATCTGTTCTGAAGTAATACAATCACTTCTGTATTGCCAGCATTAAAAGAAAAGCGAAAATGCATTTATATAACTGTTTTTGTAGCTTTATTCTCGGATAACAGCCGAAGCTTAGCATCTAGGTGGAATGGCAGCTCAAAAGCCAATATATATATATATTAATTACATACAATTCTGAAAACGTAACTAAATTCCAGGTATCTTCCAAACATGCATACCTGGCACTTTCTAAGAGTTCATCTTTCTTGTATTCACCTGGAAGACAAAAGGGAGTTTCTTTAGTTGTTAAATAAGTATTTATATACATGAAGTTCACTACTTATACTCCTCTTCCAAAATTTTAGAGAACATATGCGCTAAAAATTTGACAGTCCATTACTTAACTAGCACAATAAGCTGTTTATCCAGAACACATTCCATGACTGAGATGAAAGCCATATGGTAATTTCTATTTAGAATTATTAAACAGAGAGAAGTTAAAGTAATATCAGAAAGACAAAACCAAAAATACTGTATTACATTTATTTGACTGTTATTAGACATAACATAATCTAAAGATTATCACCTACCAGTCAGCACTGCTTTTGCAGATGGGTCTGCTAAATCCAAAGCTGTTCTTCCATCTGTGTTCCGGATGGTTGGTTCAGCACCATGCTGCAGCAGTACTAGAAAATGACAAAGTTTTCCATGACAAAACAATTCTGTAAGACAAGACTTATGAGATCTATCATTTCTGTAAGCCACAAGCAACAAAATAAACATCCAGGTACTGATCCTAACTTACCCTCTCAAATTTTTAATGTCAGAATTCCTTAATGTCACCTGTGAACAGTTTAACCACTGAAACATGCCTAGACACATTTTGTGGAAAAAAAAAAAAAAAAAAGGCAGAGCATAAATGCAACAGTCACAGACTGGCAGGAGGCAGTCTCAGTTGAAAGACTGTGTGGCTGACACCACAAAAAACAGCAGCTACCACCAGATTCAGAGCATGCTGCCTCAAATCCACAAGTGACTGTGCCCTAAACTGTACACAGCAGTAGGAGGACATGCATCTTGCACTCATATTGGGGCCAAACAGGCAATATTGTATACACAACCCTCCAGATGTGCTCCGTAGTAAAGTAAATGAGAGCAAACCACACAATCAAAAAATTAGTTTCTTGACCACATATCTAACTTCCTATCTCTTCCTGACTCTTAAGAACTGTGTAGACAAAACAAGTGGTCAATATAATTGAAGTTTAGCTCCTATCCTTAACCAAATTAACATTACTACTACATAGCGACAGAATGAATTCATAAAACCAGTTTTGTTCTTTTCACTGTAGCGCAAGTAGCAGCAGAAGGCAGCGTAAGAGTCTAGGTTGAAGTAGAAGGGAATCTAGCTCCATCATGTCACTCTAAAGCTCTTTTCCCATGATGTCAATGTGAAACTTTATACTTAGGCAATTACCAAAAATGTATCTAAAAACTTGTTTATTAGAAGACTGGCATATGAATTTAAGTTTATGAAAGATTTTTAGTTTTAATCCTTATACCAGCCATAGCTTCACCTGAGTAAAAACCATCTTTAAATGTTCTTGATTTTTCACAGTGAAAAGAAATGAGTCAGTCACAAGAAGAGTGGGAGAAAATTACCAATGCAGACATCTGTTTTGCCCTTAATGGCAGCTTCATGAAGGGGAGTGTAATTCCAATTATCTCGGGCATTAGGATCTGCACCATGCCGCAAGAGAAGATTGACAACTTCAGCATGACCAAAAGAGCAAGCGTTGTGAAGAGGAATAAGGCCTCCATCATCTCGCGCGTGGACATTGGCACCACTTTGAAGTAAATATTCAACTACATCCTTCCGACCAAAACCTGGAAGAGAGGAGAAAAGGTGTCAGGGTGGGGTGAATTCCCTGTCCCACATATGCAGATTAAAACAACAACTTAAATAACAGTAACCACTCTAAACAATCACAACTGTCATTCTTTACTAAAGGAGCATTTACATACCAAGGCTGTTTTTGAAACCCCTAAAAATTACATTAAAATCAGTAGAAAAATAATATTCAAGATTACTGGAACAATTAGTATCTTGATAGGGCTCCCATGAGTCAACAGCTTCTTGAAAAAATAACAAAAAGAACAAAACACTGACAAACCCCCTTTTTTAGTCATTTCATATGGCTATTAAGCCAAATGATATTTTGTATGATACTCTGCCAACCCACAGCCGGTTTGTGGATGGACCAATATATGAGCCCTGGGAGCAGTAAGGATGAGACTGGCTACAAGCCAATGCATGTACATTTCATATTCTAAGCTTTTAAAGAAAGATTCCTATAGCAAGAAAAGTATTTTACAGAAACACATTGCTTGTTTTTCAAAAAAAGCAAAAGCAAGTAAGCAGCACTGTTCTCAGGTTAAAACTAGAAACATGGCTATTCACTTTCTAAGAATTAATTAACATAATGTGCACACAGTTTCCATCACTTAAAAAAACCTTTAGAGATTTAAGATGTTTACCTGAAACAATTCTCCATTGAAGAAATTTATCATGAGACTATGCACAACTATAATTTAAAGATATTCAAAATGTCTATTTTCAGTGATGTCTAAAATGATTATAAATATTTGATCATTAATGAAGCACAAAAATTCTCTTATACATTCCAAGGCACTTTTTTACAAAACTGTTATTCAAGTTCATAGAGAGCAAAAAAATAAGCCCACTTGTACATTTGGGGCTAGAAACATAACATAAATAAAGTAACTGCTCTTATAAGCCCACTGTATAGCTACTGTTGTTTAATTTCAGCTGTGTTTTGCACATTTATGTAACAGAAAATAAACCAGGATATCAAACTTTATCTGTTTTCTCTAGTATCTTCACAAGAGGCCAGAATGACTTAGGGCTTTTGCTTGTAGCCATTTTATCCATCTGGTTACATTCCAAAGGCCACTGACCACAGAAATCCCTCAAAGGTTCCATGGAGGTATTTTGGGGTCATGGGGATTATTAGGACAGGTAAGAGCCATATTTTGGTATATATGAGACTTGTGCCAAGTAACTTCTGGGAAACAACCTGTGTGTGCAGGACTTGGCTCTTCTGAGTTACAAACCGTTCTCCTGGGTGGGAATGAAGCCTTGAGCTTTTGCTTCAGACTGACTCATTCCACAGTTGCCAACAGCAGCAATACTCAGATTGTAGCAAATTTTACATTTGTTACAAATCATCCCTGGAAGGTCAGTAGGTAGGTATAAATCCCTGCAACCTTAACCTAGAAATTATGTTTATTCCTAGTAACTACACAGCATTTCAGTGACAAAGCCACAGAATTGTGTGAGAATTGTCAGATTTTAGTTACAAATGAATGTTTTAGTTTTAGTTTAGTTGCAACTTAAGTTTTTCATAGTATGTTCTTCACTAAACCTGACAATTCAGTAAATCCTTCTCCCAGACCAACAGCAACTGAAATGCTGGAGCAAGAAGCACTTTCACCTTTGCTATTCGCAGCTCAAAAAACAAACATTGCCATTAAGCCATTTCTGAATTCTGCTTGTTAAGAGAAGATCTCATATGCAAGCTGTATATGCCAAAGATAGAGGCCAGGAAAGGTATTCAGAAAAGCCGTTGTTAATTTTTATCTTTTCTCCCTCCTCTTCCCTCAGCAGTCTGGTAAAGAACCACATTCCCCACAGATTTCTGATTATTATAAAACTAATTCTATGTGAAACTTTTTAATCCCAGAATGAACTCCAAGGTATTTTCAAGTAATAGACACAAGACTATATTGGTGATGTGCTTTAATTCTTCAAAATACATTACTAATAACACAAATCTCAGCTTGCTAGCACCTTAACGTCAATCGAACCACAAACTATACCGAAAATTCACTTTTGAGTCTCACCATTACAGTTACCCATCTTCTAATTAACAGAAGACACCTTGCCTGTCCTAACAGAGAACAGGAGCTCAGCACACTTGAGAGGAGAACTGGATCAGACATATGGTCCATACAAAAGCAATTTATCTGCACAGGCACAGTAAGCCACATTTACTGCACATACATGCATGTTTCTGCTGCCAAAAAAAAAAGTACCTATACAATATATACCCAGGCAACCATATTGTCTTTATAGTAAGCTATATGCAGCATATTTCTCATTCTTAAATAAATTTAGCTTTCATAACTAGATAATACGAATATTGTTTTTCTTAAATGTGTCCTCCTGACTCTTCTTTCTTCAAAATTTAAAAAATTCTGTTTCTGGGTTGAATGTATACTCAAAATTTGCTAAGTTCCTCAAGGATCCATTCAGATGAGATTTTTTTACAAGTCCCAGAGTCCTGCAAACACATCATCAAAGCTGTTGCTTGATGACAGACTGATTGGTACAATCGTATTTCAGCACCAAAAAAGTTTTACAGAATTGCTTTAGTTATATTAGGAAAGCCACTGATCAAATTCTCTGTCCAGAAGTTACACGTCCAGTAGCTAAACCACTCATTCTTATACAAAAGGCATTCCCATCCCTCAAAGCTTTGATGTATAGCCATGTTTTTAAACGTAAAATGCCAACCTTTGCAAGAATCAATACCATAACTGAAAATCAGCTGTAGTAAACCTCGTTATAGCCAAAGAGAATTCACCTTGATGCCCTCTATTTAGTACATAGGTTCAATCAGAGATAGAGCTCATGAACAAGCAGTAGCTTCTCTCTGTGCAAAGCCTGCATCCATTCAGAAAATACCCTAAGTATAGCAACACCCCGGAACCACCTGCAGTTATTTCAATGTGCTCACTTGCATCACACCAATTTTTGTGACTTCTCTTCAGCACTGAGTGCACAGCAGGGATTCCTTACTTCCCTGTGGAAGCATCTGTACAAGAGGGCACCATATATGGAAGGAGAAGTATTTTCTCATTATTTTCTAAATGATGTATGTGTACAGAGCAGGCAGCCAAACTGTATAATGATCTCTCCCTCCTCTTGTTTTCACTGAGAGTAGAAAGAGGGGACAGCCTTTGCTGGCACAGGGAAGGGGGCCACTACCTACTGTAACAGTTCATTTTTGCCATTAGTACACTGCTGCAAAAACAATTTCAACACTTAAAAAAAAAAAAGTAGTTTTTAAGGGGCAGGAGGGTTCTTTTGGCTCTTGAACTTCTATCAAAAGACCAACTAAATGGCATCACAGCTTGCAACTGTGCAAGATAACTGTCTCATCATCACAAACACTTTATTTCTTACTGCAAAGCACAAGGGCTACTCAGGGTTTCCAGCTGATGCTCTTCTACCATCTATGACAGCTGAGTAGCTCGCTGTACTTGTTCCCAGAAAAGTTACAAACTTCTGGCTGACAAATCCTGAATATTTATCACAATAGAAACATGTAACTGTATAATTTTTTTTTTTTTTACAAAATTTATTTATTTACAGTCACTGTTGTGTCATAACTTACATTCACCTAATTTTGACTGGATGAAAAGCTAACAGAAACAACTGAGATCCAATTCTTCTCCCCTGCCCCAGGCCTTCATTGTTTTGATGAATTTTAGTTTGTAGGAAGGGCATATTGCTTCCTGCCAAGTCCCTAAAACCTTGTGATACTTTCAAGTTCGGCATACACTGCAACAAAAAGGATTAAATTGAAGAAGTAGATGCAGCTTATGGTGCAAGAAGTCTGAGCCTATTCCATTGTGAAGGGTCGTGGGCTCTTGACTTACACTTCAGTACAACTTAACTACTACACACAAAATTGTATAGTACAAAATCCAAAGCACAACCTTCACCAAGATCCCAATATGTGTTAATTCTAATGATGACACGTGCCCAGTGAGAGCTTGCAGTAATTTTTAAAATATATTTTAAAATCCACCGCTACAAAATGACACATGGAAAAAGAGGAATTTATTTCTTTAAATTGCTAGGTAAGATCTGAGAAAAGACTTAAAAAATGGCACCCAAGTTCAGACCCCAGAATGGCACTAAAAAAAGAAAAAAGGGTAGTACAAAACCCATCTTCCTATTTCAGCTTCACCTCTTCTAAAAAACAAGTCTAGAAACTAAATGAAAGTCAGAGAAGTTTTGTAATGTATTTTCTAAGAACATCTAGCCACCTAGGCTAAACAAAGCAAGAATACAACAGATTTTTACTTCCTGGAATGTAATTCCTTTAGAGACAGAAGACAAAAGAAGTTAGTATTACTCCAGCTGTGACTAATGGGGGAAAAGCCAAACAAAACCAATAACCCCAAAAGACAGGAGTTACTTATATCCATCTTTCACACTGTGTCTATCGCAGGTAGGCTGACAACAGCAGAGTTCTACCTGAAGTGGTGGAAGAGTGTTAAATCAAGCAATTATGCAAGTATTTTATGTCACATGTTAATCAGAAACTTTTGGCATTTCCTACAGTCTTGTGAGAGGAGCAATTAATTTCTCTGTATCAAGTCTGAAGTAGACATAAGCATGGCAACAGTCTCTCCCATTTACACACTGACCTGTTTAACATTAGAAGTCTAACAACTACATGAACTTCTTGCTATGCATTTTTTAAGAAAAAAGCTTTCTGTAGCTCAGGAGTTGTGTTTTTCAAAGTTACGACAGATCACCCATGTCCAGAGAGATAAACTAGGTCACTACATTGCATGAAGAACTCCTTAGGTACAAAGAAAAACAGAAAACCCTTCACTTGCCCAAAATCTTCTAAAACATACTCATTTGTTTAGAAGTTCAGAGGTTATTAGTGAAGAGGCAGGACTGCTACATATAAAAAGATAGCTGCAAAATTGTTTTCCTGACAGGGTATTTTGTCTCCTAGGCTCTCTCCTTGATCAAGTTTTTTAAATCTGTGAAATGCAGCTGTCCTGAAGAGGCTTTCAAGAACTTAGACCTGTTAAGTTTACTGAATATGAGAAAAGAACATCTAAGCAGAAACCTTTTCCAAAATAATTTGGTGAAGAAGCAAACTTATTACTATCCACTTTCCATAGCTGAAAAGCTGCTGCTGCCTTCTGCAGCCTGCCAGCCTTGGGGTCCTACAACTAATGCTGTAATCAAATCAAAACAAGCAAAACGAAAACAACAGTCACAGTCAGGTCTTTGTCTGAAAAGGTGGGATACAATCTTCTGGCCTATTACCAGTGATAGCAGTTGTTCGCATACCTAAGTCCTGAGTTAACAAAGTCTATTTGTTAAAGATAAGAATGCAAAAAGCTTAGAAAAGGTGTTATCTGACAGGCACCCTTCATATGTGGAATTCTAAAAATGAGTAGGCCTGCTGAGATCAATGGAAACAGTACCTGGGACATATGTCACCTGTCAGAGCTCACATGCCACAACACGAACTGTCTAAACCCCAGTCCAGATGTCCTCAACGCCAGCTGAAGTTTATTAAAAAAAAAAAAAAAAAAGGCAGAAACAAGACGCCACCTGTACTGCTCAGCAACCACCACCGCGTGGTTCATCAGCCTTATCAGCCACGCGAGAGCGGGCGTCGCACCCACAGGCGCCCACAGCCGCGGGCCGGGCGCTGGGCGCGGGGGGGGTGGAGGCGCGCTGCGAGCCCCGGAGCTGCGCCCGGGCCGGGAGGCGGCGGCAGCGACCGAGCGCAGCCCCGCGGCCCGGCCCGGCCCCCGCCCTGCCCAGGCCCCGCGCCCCGAGGGAGGCAGAGGTGCGCGGCCTGGCGCCCGGCGCGGCTGCCCTCTGCGCTCCCCCGTCCCCGCAGGGGTGGTAATGGCGGCCTCGGGCCGGTACCTGCGGCGAAGTGCAGCGGGCTGGACTTCCTGCCCGCCGTGTCTCGGCTGTTCACGTTCTCGGGCCGCACCAGCCGCTTGACCCGCTCCACGTCCCCGTTCCTGCAGGCCTCGAAGAGCTCTCGAGCCGGCTCCGCCGCCGCCGCCGCCCCGCAGCCCGGCGCCTCCGCCAGGGCGGCCGCCCCGCCCGCGCACCTCCGCCCCGCCATGCCGGGCCGGGCCCGCCGCTGGCGGCCCCGCAGCTCCGGCTCACAGTCCGCGGCGCGCAGCACCCCTCCGCACGCGCCGCTGGGCGGGGCGCTGGGACCGGCGCATCTCGGCGGAGGGATCCGGGCGGAGCGGCCGCGCCGGCAGCAGCAGCGGCGCTGCTGGCCGTACTGCGCTTGCGCTCGCCGCCAGCCTGTGGGGGTGCCGGGAGGAGGCGGGGGCTCGTCGCGGTATCGGCCGTCCAGCTGCGGCCGCCCCGCTGTGGCTTCCGGGCGGTGGTCGGGGAGCGGAGGGTGCCCGTCGCGTCCCGCAGCAGCCGGTGTTTCCCTGGAGCTGCGGGAGCCGCTGCGGGGGCGGGCGCTCGCGCTCGTCGCTGGGGCCTGGAGCCGGGGCCGGGCCGCTGCTGGGGTGCTTGAACTGAGGGCGCTCCCGGCCTAGTGGACTTCTCCACTTCGCGAAGCTTGTCTGAAAGTGTGGCCTCTCTCCTTCCTTCCCCTCCCACCCTGAAGGCTCTTGCTGCTCCAGAAGAAATCTGCAACCGGATTCCTGTTAATGCGAGACACCTTTTCAGTACATTTCTTTTCAAAGTTGGAGAGAAAGCAAGATAAAAGATACCACTCATAGTCTGTCTTTAATCTGCTGCCTGCTCCTTTCTAAGGGAAGATTTGTAGCACAAAAGTTCAAGTACAGTGCTAGCAGTTTGTCCCAAAAGAATACAAATGTTCCTTTGCTGTTTACATTAGTTAAATGTAGAATAGGAGGTGACAACTACGTGCTAATAATGTCATGATCCTTAGATAGCAAAATATGTTGCTCAAAAGGACATTAAGTGCTTGCATAATATCTATGAAATGGAACTTAAACGCCATAAATTAGATAGTTTTCTTTCTTAGAAAACAGGTATTAGAAAATACTGTTAGTTGACTTAGCCAATTTGAGGTTTTGGAAGAACAAGAGAGCATGTCTTTCCTTCTAAGCCTAACAAGCCTGACAGGGAAGCTTGAACGTAGATGGGACTAACTAGAATAGGACTCATTAGGTAATTTTGAAATTTATTTTTCCATTCATGCCATAATAAAACACTTACTTTGGAAAAAATAGTTGAATAGGGTCAGTAGATTCCTGTTCCAAAGGCTGGAAAGGTAAGTGCCTCCAAACTCAATTGAACTTTAAGACTATTGTTACACTCGTAAATTAAATGACTTAAGAACCAGGAAAGAGATCTGGCTGCTAATTTGTACAGTTTAGTCACTCCCATTCTGCTAAACATCCTTGACTCTGAAACAAGGCGGTTACATCCAAGTTGCCTGTCCCTGGTGCACACTAATTCCTAAACTGTGCCCAGGAATTTTTTGGGGTAGACTACTAGCTGTACCGGGCCAAAACCATGCTACAGTACCAGGTCAAGATCCAATGTCTGTGTCTGTGTCCTGGCACTGTTTAGTTTACTAATTTACACATAGTCACAGTAGTGTGACAGGATGATGCAGCCAGCACAGGCGCAGAAGCTATGTGCTTTGACAAACACGTGATGGCTTGGTCATGTGTATTTTCTGTAATCATAGAATCGTAGAATGGTTTGGGTTGGAAGGGACCTTAAAGACCACCTAGTTCCAACCCCCCTGCCATGGGCAGGGACACCTTCCACTGGACCAGGTTGCTCAAAGCCCTGTCCAGCCTGGCCTTGAACACTTCCAGGGAGGGGGTAGCCACAGCTTCTCTAGGCAACCTGTGCCAGTGTCCCACCACCCTCACAGAAAATAATTTATTTATTATATCTAATCTCAATTTACCTTCTTTCAGTTTAAAACCGTTACCTCTTGACCTATCACTACATCCCCCCCTGGCTTTTCTTCCCATCACTGCTTAAATTACAAGATGTGCTCACTAGGCAGGGAAAAGTTAGACTATGACCAGAGTCCCTTTATCAGCTTTGTCACACAGACATAATTCATCCACCGTTTTGCACGTGGCCATAATGTTCTGCTATAAACTGTCATCAAGTGTGGCTCATAGGCCTGCAGCCATCTCAGACCTTCCCAACTTCTCCAAAGTACACATGAAGAAAACTGTCCTTTCTATGTGCAGGCTCCACAGACGGAAAACAAGACCTGTGGTGCTGCCATTTGTATCTTTTATTAGTTCCATTAGCATAGCTGGAAAAAATACACAAGCTTTTGAGTTCATAAACTCTTCTTCTTCAGGCCTACAGCAGAAGTAGCAAATGAATTAACTTGGCTGTTTCCATTTCAAAACTGAAGAAGGGACTGCGTATCTAAAAGTCCGTGGAAGTGTGAATACGTATGTAAATACAAACACACCCTGCTCCCCAAGTCTTCTAAAGAAGTTTAGAAAAATTTTTCACTAGTTTACTATAAACTCTATCTATGTTTCTTTCCTTAGCAAAAGCAATTTTCAAATGCTTATGGAAAAAAAAAATTGAGTTAGAAAAAGAGCAGGATTCCAAAGAGCATGATCTAATATAAACAAATTCCCTATTCTTTCCACATCGTTATACCAAAACCATATTATTATTCTAAATTACCTACAGCCTGACTTCCTTTTCCAGTATGGCTTTCTTGAAGCTTGAGTGTAAAACTATGGCAGGTCTTTGTGAATGGAAAACAATTTAAAAAAATACTTTACTGTAAGAGCAGGATTCAACTAGCCTTAAATTCAGTGAGCCAAAGACTCTTAGCATATTTTAGCATTGATGTATTAATAGCCTTCCACACTGACTTCTGAGCTTCACATCATGTAAAATAAATTTACTTCTATTTATATGTTTATTTCTTTTATGAGAAAATAATCTGTAAAATCCAGTGCTTTTCTTCAGTCGTCTGTACAATAGTATGGTTAGAAAACCACAGCTGAAATACATGCCAAATCCCACTCAATATATGTGATAGGGATTCTTCTGGAGGAAGCGGGGGGGTGTGTTATAACCCACCTGTTATTAGCACCACCCGAGAGCCTCAGCTGTTAACAGCTCGGAAACATTTGACTGGTATTGTTTTTTAGTGTAATTTGTGATATACCAATAGCCTCTACCTTTGCAGGGCATTTATGTTAGTGGCATGACCTGGCCTAATAGATAAATGAAAGTATTTTTGAAGTGTGCTTACAGTTTATTTAGAAACATGCTTGTCTGGTCGCTAGAGGGCAGAAAAGGAAACAAAAAAAAAAAACAAAAAAAAAAAAACAAAAAAAAAAAAAAAAAAGAAAAGAAAATGAGAAAATGAGAAATAAAAAGTAAAAGAGAACGAAAAAGAAGAAAAAGAAAAATAATTTAAAAAGAGCAAGAGGGACTGTTGGGTACAGACAGACTAAGGCAGCCTGAAAAATAAACCCTTTTCCTTTCTGCTTATGAGATAAAAGTTTGCTTATGGACAGAGACATCATCTATGGCAATCTACAAGGCAGTCCATCAGATTTAGGATTTTCAACTGTCAGCCCTTCATTTTGTGAAGATTTCTCAGCTCTTTCTAATTGATCCTTGCAGTGGTTGGCCTCGCTCATAGAAGCAAAGTAAAATGCTAGAATTAATTGGTCATTTCAAGTGTTCAGAAATACAGTATACTCCAAAAGGAAAATGATTTAAAATTTATTCCGTTTGGAGTATTTCCAGGTGAGACTTGGATAAAAACCCCCAACCAACAATAATTAATGTTGTACGTCAGGGAATAATAAACCATGCTTATAAAGGAAAGAGTTAATTTTGGAGAGAAACAGAAATAGTCTGTTGTTTAGTGACTAACATTTTAAAACCATAAATAGAAACTTTTTCAGTGCAAGCTACTTTTTCTAAATGAAAAGAGAGGCTGATCAATTTAAGAAATAAGAGCTCACTACAAAATCAAAGCAATACAGGTTGTACAGCAGTGAATATGGGTACAGCTGGATCTTTAAAGGAACTTACTTTCTCCCTTCCCCTTCTCATCCCATATATCAAGTACTTTGGGTACTCATCTTAAACAAGCAGGAGCTTGTTCCTTTTCCCTGCCGGTCACTAATCTGTAGTTAGTGGCATATTAGATGTGCCAGCTTTGTTTTACCAGCAGATGGGGGTAAAGTGGAATAAATATAAAATGTTCTGAAATAATGAAGGGATTAAAAAAAAAAAATAAATGAAAGGATACTTGGAAATAGTGAAACACTGAAAGACTGAGCACTGCAGAGGGGAACAAACACAGAGCCAAGTGGTCCCTCTAGGAAACAGGGATACACTGTGAATTGTTGACAAGCTGCAACGGTAGGTGATTTAGTTATCAAAATACTGTATCCATGTATGCAGCAATGAAGATAACTGTTCAGCAGCTTGGTGACCAGCTGTGGAGATGGCGGTTCACATGACACATTTTGAGAAGATTCTTACTAGTGGTAGGGAGAAGCTTGTGATCCTGACATCAGAAGCACAGATAAGTATATGAGAGCTCATGGAAACTAGATTACACAGAAAAAAACCCTTTAGTCCAGGGCCCTTGTGATTTCTTTAAAATTATTCCAGTTCCCCTGTCAATGACTGCTAGACAGAAGCAAGTCTAGAGGGCTTAAAGTGAGCTTTTGTTTGTATTTCTGTAGTGCTTGGAACATGTCTGGGAGGACAGGGAGGTTTTTTAAAAGCAGAGACTCCACACATGCAAAGCAGAATTTCTTGGGCTGACAGCATGGGAACATGGCAGGGACCTGGGAAATTGTTATTAGGAAGAAAGCCACAAGCAGCAGAGGAGCAGTAGGGCCGATGATTGGCATTGACTAAGAATGCCAGCAAAACAGATTCATTTGTATCTTGAATAGGTGCAATAACATGAAAAAGCTAAAAGCAAATAAAGGCAAACAAGATCTGTCCAAACATGACATATTCAACTTTTCTGAAGCTGACTAAAAGAAAAAAAATAGTGGGGTCCTGAGGTTATAATATGTCTAGAACTGGCTGAGGTGGGAAATAGTAATTATCCTGGAAAAATCATCTTGGAGAAAATTTCAGAGAAGCAAGAACTAGTGAAAGACTCTCCATGCATTTAAATTGCAATTCAAGTGACATTATTTTAACAAATTTCAATGTTAGTTTCCTTTCGCAGCTGAAAAAAAAAAAAGGCTTTGGGGAGGTTCAGGCGTCTTCACAATCTATCCTGGGCATTTAACAGAAGCA